AAAATCTTTTGTAGATGTCTTAACTAATCGTGCAGATCCTCCGCTATCAAAGAAGACCCCAGTTCGATACAAAGGTATGCCGGCCATCCAATTTCCAGAAGAAGAGATTCAAAGTTTAGCTGCTCGACACAAGAGATCTTTGGTTGGTTATTTTTACAAAGGACGACCTAATCTAACGGTGATCTGCAAAGCTTTTGAAGTTATAGGTTTTTCTGGATTGTTTCATTTGGGACTGCTGGATTCTAAACATATCTTAATCCGATTTGAATCTAATGAAGATTCTTATAGATGTTGGAATAGACAAACATGGACTATAAGAGGATTTATGATGCGTGTGATTAGATGGACCCCGTCTTTTCGTCCTAATGTGGAATCCCCTGTGGTTCCAGTTTGGATTGGTCTGGAGGGACTGCCTATTCATTTACAAGATCAGAGAGCCCTGTTTGACATAGTTGGTCTAATTGGAAAACCAATTAAAATACATGCTCCGACTGCTAATCTTTCTAGACAATCTATTGCTCGAGTGTGTGTTGAGCTTGATCTTACCCAGGATCTACCCCAAAAGATTTGGATTCAATGTGGGTCTCAAGGTTTCTCTCAACAGGTCATCTATGAAGACTGCCTCACTATTGCAAAGCATGCCTACATCTGGGTCATACTGCAGATAAATGTCCTAAGCGTGTTCAGCCTAACAGCTTGCCACAACAACAACTAAATTCTACAGAAAATGCTAAGGAGATTACACACACTGCCAAGCTGAAAGAAAAGTGGATTCCTAAAAATACACATATTTTGCAGATAACAAATGGTGAATCTGGCGACAACATGATTCTCAGAGAGGCTTCTTCTACAAGCAAATCCAGTGAACAGATCAATGACCCTCTAGTTGAAGTCCAGGATCTCACAGACACTAAGGAGGTTTATCATGACCCACATCCTGATACAATGAAGAAAGATGAGGTCCTCAATGATCCAAATCTTGAGGGTGTTATTACTGATAATGATTTTCCATTAACTTACCATAAGCCTGTGGGACCTTTAGTAGATGATGCTCAGCTTCAGAATTTGGTCAATGCTCTTGATTTTGATCCTGAAATTATTAGCAAAGACTATTCATCAGATGGAGGAGAGCCTAACAAAAAGGAAGATATACAAGCCTGGAAGGATGCCTTACCGGGTATTATCAAACAAAAGGAGAAAATGAAGGAAGTACAAAATCAGAATGTTAACAATGATGAAAACAATGCAGAGTTTATTGTGGTCAGAAGGAAAAGATACAAGAAGAAAAAAACATTTCCAGAAATTCCTCCTCGAGTGACCAGAAGCACAACAAAGAAAATAACTATTATTGAGGGTAAATCTGAATCTATTGCAGCTAACAAGCTTCCACAAAATTCTCCTCATACCATTTTGAAATGAATTGTCTTGTATGGAATCTAAGGGGGCTAGAAGGTGCTGCTTCTAGGTTATTCTCCCTAATTCAGCAATGGCAAATTCATTTACTTATTGTTATTGAACCTATTGTGGCAAATACTAAAGCAGAAAACTTTATGAGACAACTGGGCTTCAACAAAGTGCTTTGTTCTGATCTTAATAAGATTTGGATCTACTGGGATGACTCTAATCTCACTATCTCTCATGTGGAATGGGATTCTCAGTATACTCACTTCAAAATCAGCTCTAATTACTTCATTGGACATTTCACAGCTATTTATGGTAATCATAGCTACATTCATAGGAGAGTTTTGTGGCAAAAGTTAACTGAATTTTCTAATCAGATCACAGGAAATTGGTTGGTGGGAGGTGATTTTAATGCTATTGCCTCTCATACTGAACATTTTGGTCCTTCTCTCCCCCATTTGGCTAGCATGATTGATTTTGCTAATTGTATCTCCTCTTGTGGGCTAATTGATCTTCCTGTTAATGGTTCTAGTTACACTTGGACTGGTGTAAGAACTAATGGTAGACATTGGAGAAGACTTGATAGAATTTTAGTTAATGGACATTGCATTGATTCTTATGATCACATTCAGATTACACATCTTAACAAGACCCCTTCTGATCACTCTCCTGTTCTTATTCAGCTTCGTAATAATGGTTATGTTGGTCCTAAGCCTTTCAAATTTCAGAACATGTGGATTTCTCAGCCCTCCTTTTTTGAGATGGTTTCTAATAGTTGGAATTCTTATAGATTTGGTGGAGGCATGCTTGGTCTGACTAAAAAACTTAAATGCTTGAAACAAGATCTCAAAAAATGGAACTCTGACACTTTTGGTAATATTTTTGAGGGCATTAAGTTCTGTGAGCAAGAGGTTTCTAATGCTGAGATTGCTTTTGAGAATAATCCTTCTGAAGAAAATAGGTCTACTTGGTCCTTCAAAAGGGCTTTGCTTCTTTCAAAATACAAGCTTGAAAATTTTTTTGGAAACAAAGGGCTCATCTAAAATGGCTTAGAGGGGGAGATGCTAATACTAGTTTCTTCCACTCTTTTGTGAGAATCAGGAATAGAAAACAACAAATCACCTCTATCACCAACATGGAGGGGATTACAGTTAACTCTATACTTGATATTGGGGAGGCTGCAGTTCAGTACTCTTCTTCTCTATATTCTCATGAACAGGAAGGTGATTCTGAGGAAATCCTGCAATACATTCCATCATTATTAGAAGAAGAGGACAACAGATCTCTTATCTCCCTACCAGATTCAGAAGAGGTTAAAGAGGCAGTTTGGGCACTTAATCAAAATGGGGCTGCTAGGCTGGATGGTTTTAATGGTAAGTTTTTTAAAAAATGTTGGCATATTGTGGGGAAGGATGTAGTAAGTGCTGTTCAAGACTTCTTCATTGGAGTTCCTATTCCTAAAGGTCTGTCCAGCTCTTTGCTGGTGCTTATACCTAAGAAACATAACCCTGCTTCCTTTACAGATTATAGGCCCATTTGTTTATCTAATTTCATCAATAAAGTCTGTACTAAAGTGTTTGCTAACAGATTATCCATCCTTCTTCCTAAGATGATTTCCAATGAACAAGCTGGTTTTCTTAAAGGGAAGGATATGGCAGATCAGATTCTTATTGGTCAAGAAATGACTCATGATATTGATAGGAAGGTTAGAGGATCTAACATGGTGGTCAAACTTGACATGGCCAAGGCTTTTGATAGGTTGTCTTGGGGATTTCTTTCCAAAGTTCTGACAAAATTTGGTTTTCATGAACATTTTATCAAGCTGGTTCTTAATAATCTTAAGTCCACATATTTATCTATTTTGATTAATGGCAGTCCTCATGGGTTCTTTCAACCTAAAAGAGGGGTTAAACAGGGAGACCCTCTTTCCCCTTTTTTGTTCATTATTGCCTCTGAAGCCTTTTCTAGGGGCTTGAATTGGCAAGTGGCTAATGGGAAGATTGGTTCTTATTGGATGGGCAGACATGGTGTTCCTATTACTCATCTTGCTTTTGCAGATGATTTGTTAATTTTTATGAATGGGGGTTCTAGATCTATTCTTAATTTAAAGAAATTTCTTACCCAGTATCAAGGAGCTTCAGGCCAAGTAGTCAACTTTGATAAAAGTTCTTTTGTTGTTGGTAAGCATGCTTAGGCAAGAAGTCAGATCATCAAAGAGTTGTTAGGAATGCAGAAAACCACTCTTCCTCTGAAATACCTTGGAGCAAACCTACACAGGAGTATAAATAGACATCAACATTGTCACCATATTATTCAGCAGTTTGATTCTAAACTTTCTACATGGAAGCAAAAGAATTTATCACAGGCTGGAACACTTATCTTGATCAAACATGTGTTAGGATCTATTCCAATGCATTTTCTAGTTGTTGACCTTCTGCCTCTGAAAATTAAAAGGATTTTAAATAAGAAGCTTGCCAATTTCTTTTGGGGATCTGATAATGACAAACCCAAGTATCATTGGATTAGTTGGTCCAAGATGTGTTATCCTAAAGAAGAAGGGGGATTGGACATACGCTTTGTTAAAGATCTTGAAAAAGCTCATTCTTTAAAACTATGGTGGAAGTGGAAATCTCATTCTGGTTCTTGTTCCCAATTTATGCACAACAAGTATCAGAGAGGGGATGATATGCAACCTAAACTTACTGATTCTCCAAGCTGGAAAAGATTGTGCAGAATCAATGATTTGGCTCTCTCCTAGACAGAGACATCAAATGCTCAGAACATGATTTGGTTACCCTCTTCTGATGGCCTCTTCTCCTACAAAACAGCTTTTAATGTCATTAGACATTCCCAGGGATCAGCATTTTCATACAAACATATTTGGCACCCTAAACAACAACTTAAAGTGAAGTTATTTCAATGGAAGCTCTTTAGAGGCATTTTACCTATTTCAGACAATCTTAGAAGATTTCAGATGGTGCTTCAGCCCTCAATGTGCCCTAATTGTAGAAAAAATAATGATATTACAGATCATATTTTCTATGGTTGCTCATTCTCTAACACTATTTGGAATTACTTTGACAGGATCTTGAATATTCCTATCCCCACTAATCTTCTTTCAGTTAGAAATATATTTTTTGTTTGGTAGCTTGAAGCAGGAAGCAAAACCCTCAGTGATGTTTTCAGACATAATCTTCCAGGCATTATCAGCTGGCATATTTGGAAGATTTACACTGACCTAATCTGGGGTTCTCTACTTGCTATCCCTACGGTTGATAGTATTATCTGGAGAATCAAACTTTATACTCAAACCTGGGTTCAGAGTTTTAATTCTTCTAAATTTTGTTCCATAGATAAGATTCTTTATGGGGAAAATCTCATCCCCAGTAACATTAAATCGAATATGCTTCTTCAACCTATTCGATGGATTAAGCCTAAGAGGGGTCTTAAACTCAATGTTGTACAACGTCGCACGTCTAACGTCGGTTCTTAAATAACCGTTGTTATAAGAGGTAAAACAATTACAACGTCGGTTAACAGAAAAAACTGACGTGATAAGTTATATAGAAAAACGGATGTTGCTTCTTTAAGAATAAAAAGAAAAGGCTTCAAAGACAATTAGGAGACGCTCCATCTTCTCTCTAAAGTTGAGTGTCGCGTAAGTCGATCTCCCGAAGCCTGAGCGGCAGCGATGCCGGCGGCGGAAGGATTAGGACTGACAACCGAACCGCCTAAGGCATCGTACTCAGCGGCGGTAAGGGACCCAGTCCACGGCCACCAACTGCACTCCCAACCGGTTTCCTTCTGGGACGCGTTAGGCCTGGGTTCGTCTGGTTCCTTCAGCGGCTACCCGGCGGTCACCTTCTCCAATGAAAACGTACAGGTTCTCTTCTTTCCGTTCAAGTACGCCCTCGTTGGTACCTTTCCGTCTGGGAGGGCCCCTCCCAGCGATTCGGAAAGCATTCGCCGCATTAGGGTTTTTCCAACCCTACTCTGTCGGTCTTCTACATCGGAATACTGTTCTGATCAACTTCAAATCCGACCTCGATTACCAAAGATTTTGGGGAAAATCTGTCTGGGATTTCTTTGGGTACCAGATGTTGGTCACCCGTTGGACTCCCTCATTCTCCATCGACCACGAGTCCCCTCTCGCCCCAGTTTGGGTGTCGCTTGAAGGATTGCCAATACACCTTCATGATATTCGGGCCCTTTCTCTATAGCTAGGTTACTGGGGAAACCTATTAAAATCGACACCCCTACTGCCAATTTTTCAAGGCCTTCAACAGCCAGGATCCGTATAGAAATGGATACTTCACTTGAACTTCCCCAAAAAATTTGGATAGGAAATGGTGCTACTGGATTTTTTCAGAATATACTATATGAAAAGTTACCTTTATTCAGCCACACCTGCTCTAGGTTTGGCCACTCATTTTCAGAATGCCCCCGGTCACAAAGCCAGGTTTTGCAAACTGGAAAAAGTACAGCAGTCCCTACTGTTAAAATTCCTGTTGCCCCTATCTGTAATAATACTAAAGATACAACTGTCCCTGTGCTCATTCCTGTTACGGCCCCAACTTCAACTACTGTGAATGTGGTCACAGCCTTATGTGATTCCCATTCTGATGCTACAATTGCTGCCTCTCTCAGTTGTGATGCTCCAGTGGCAGGTGGTTGTGCTCCTGTTACTGATGAGTTCTTTGGAATTTCTATTGCTGAAAATGCTGTTATTGAACACCCCTCCCCCCTGTGATGCGGTTGTTTTCATTGTTGCCCCTAATAATTATGTGGTTTCTTCTGAACAACCATCCCCTGATTTGGTTGTTTCAGAACATCCCTCCCCCCTGTGATGCAATAGGATTCAATGTTACTCCGGATTTGTCTGTGGTTGTCTCAGAACACCCTCCCCCTTGTGATACAGTATCACACTGCTGAACCTGATTCACTTGGTGATGACCATGTTATGGAAGCTTTTGACTCATGTGCTATCTGAGGATCTGTTGCCGATCCTACTGTCCGTTTTGATGCCCGTGAAACTACACCTTCAGCTAAGGTTGGCCCCGTAGACTTAGAAGCTACTGATGCTACACCTGTAGCTAAGGTTGGCTCGGTGGCTTGTGTTGCTGATAATCATGCCCCTATTGATACATTTAAGTATGATGAACCCCCGGTGGCTACCTGTAACAAGGCGGTAACCGCAGGCGTTGTTCATCAAATGATTGACCCACATGCCTTTGCTACAAATGATGCTCTTACAGGAGATGATGATCTTGTATCTGATCCTTTGTGTACTCATACTACACTTGTCCCTTTGCAGTCCAGTGATGACGTTATATCTGAGGACATCCATAGTGCTTTTCACACTTTTTCAGGTACCAATGAAGAAGATGATCCTGATGGCTTTACAACGGTGAAAGGAAGAAATAAAAACACGAGCGCGGTACTCATCCCAACTTATGAAGAAAGGGACACCCAACTATTTTACCATGTAGGATATAGCCTCTACACTTCTCGCCTTCTCTCAACGAACGATTTGCCAGCAGCCTCTTTCAATCTCTCCGCCAACAGGCAACAGCCAACACTTCCTCGAGGTAATACTTCATCGCTTCACTCTTTATTCACTCTTCATCCATTTTCAGTTGGTTTTTACTAATTCAAAACAGAGTTTGTTGTTTACAGTCCCAAAATATGACTACAACAACTTTTTTTGTTACTGATTAAACATTCAGATGTTTATGAATTCGTGTGAATGATTGATATAAGTTAGAACTAGAGGTTAGTGAAAGTAACTCGATGTTGGAGCATTGTAAGTAAGATGTTTGACAAAAGATCTCAAAGAAGTATAAACCCTATTTTAAAATTGAAGCAGGTTAGAAGTTGGATGGCTGAAATTTTCTTCCAATATTCATATGTCATCTATCTAAGTTAATTATTTTAGATGTTCATTTGTTTAGTTTATGTTTGAGTTAATTGAACCTACTTAAACTTTTTATTCAAACTAAAACTTTCCTTTAAAATTAAATAACACCCACTAAAATTTCCCTGTTTCTTACTCTTTTCTAAACTGTGTTATTCTCTAGATTTCTATTCTTTGTAATTTGTATAATAGAAAGTATAAATGGTTAAATTGAGTTTATAAAAACATGAAGAATACATCATTGTTTGAAATATGATTTGTGCTTTACAACCCCATAACATGATCACAAAAAATAAGCTAGTCATTCAACTGTTTTAAGGAATACGCCAATATAAAACAGTTTGGTTGCTTTTTGCTTCACCAAATTCCTTTATTTATCCATATATTGATTTTGGTAACTGATTTGTTATGATGGTTAGATATGAAGTCTTGAAATATTGAATTCATCTTTATTGAATTATGTTGAAAATAACCACTGATATAATTACATGATGTGTTGATTTGATGCAAAATCTTTGCCATAACTACAGCTTGAGAGAATACTATCTATCCATAGTTCTATTCAGAATAAATTTAAACAAATATTTTATGTCAACTATTTTCAGTTCTTATGTGCTTAGAGAGTTAATGAGCTCTTTGTTCTATTCAGTTCTATAGTAAGTAGCTAACTAAGTGCTGCTAAAAAGACAAAATATAAGTAAGTGTTAGAAAAATAGAAAATTTCTGTAGCTAATATGTGATGTGCAGTTGGGTTAAATGGATTAGTTAGTTTTTAACTCAAGTACTCTTTTAATTTGTTGTTTTTTAGTTGAGTTCAAGACTTTAATTGATGACTTTAGTTTGATTTAGCTTCTCACCTTGGGACTAATCTTTCATATCATTTATTGTTTGGAAGAATCAACCCTAAGTAAACTCTCCACATTATTCTTAACAGATTCGAGAGTATAACCTTGTCTGTTGAAGTGTGAAGCTCCCTGCTTCTAAAAGATGAATATATTAATGTTCTAAGTGCCCCTTTTATATTGTACCTTTCAATATTCTAAGCATTTTAAGTGTCAATATTCAAAATGTTCTAGGTGGCTCTTTTGCATTGATGAACAAACTCTGTATTTGCTGAGGAACATTGGTACCTTTAGATCTAGCTGATAGATAGTCACATCAACAAATAAGTATTGAATCTTGAATGATATTATCATATCAGACATATTCATAACTATATATGATGTCATTAAATCCAATTGCCTAGACTTTCAAATTCTAATGAGTAACAAATTTTCCCTTTATTTATGTCAGGGACTGTCCACTAGTTATTTGTATCCATCCATTTGTAGCCTATGGCTCCAATTGAAGGTGTGATTCAAGTACAAGATGATAAAAAATGCTAGAAGAGCTAAAGTGGTATATCTTTTCTGTTTTCTTTTTCCGATGTTTTAATCGAAGTCTTTAGGTAGTAATTATGTGTGATTTTACTAATGACATTTACGGAGTAAATGACGAGTTTTAATGTTGCTGGTAATTGAGATATCATTGTTTCTAAAGGTCTCATCTCAGGTAGCTAGGAGTCTAGGACTTGGACAATTCTGCTTTTTTTAAATATACCATTTGTTTTATTTGAGTTGCTTTAATGTTGAAGTGATTGTAGAGTATATTTTGAATTATGTGGTATGATTCAAACATTTCAGTTTGTATGATACATCATCTAACTGAACTCCACTTTTACCCTTTCTTTATAGGAGTTATAGTGTAGCTACAGGACAATGGTTGGACATGCTTAATCGGGACACCGGAAGTCTGGCTTTTTCAGGATATATTAAGAAGGGGTCTAAGAGAGCAACACTTTCTTTTGATGCAGCAGTTGGTTATTTGCTACTTGTACGTTGTCTTTAGTTTTGCATAACATAATTTGGTCTCTGTAGTTTAGAGAGAGATTTTGTATTATGTTTGTACAGTCAAAAACGTATATTCTACAGGCATCATTTTTTATATGTTCTGTCTCGTGGGCTATGTGAATAGCTATTTTTTTTGTTTTTTTAAAGTACATATAACGTCAGTTTCTTTGATAACTGATGTTATATGTATTCTTTTTATTTTAATAAAAACTTATCACGTCGGTTCTCTTGAAAAGCGACGTCGTAGGTGACACATTTAACGTCAGTTATTTGGCGGAACCGACGTGGTAGATAATATTTCATAATTAGTAAAAATCATTTCACGTCGGTTTTAAAACTGATGTGGTAGGGTCTAACTTATAACGTCTCTCACTTACACATCTGTTCTAGAACCGACGTTAAAAGTATAAAATAACCGACGTTGTATGTTCCTTCTCTAGTAGTCTTGATGCGGCGTATTTACCTGGAAAAGCTTCCGGTGGCGCAATCTTGAGAAATGAACTTGGAGTTTTCATCGGAGCTATCTCGTTTCCCATGGTAGCTTTCTCCAGCCTTCACGCAGAACTGCTTGCACTCCTAAGGGCAACAACGTGGGCTATTAACAAAGGATTTGGGAGCTTTCAGGTTGAATGTGATGCTAAGGAGATTGTGGATTACGTTTCAGGTAGGAAGAGGGATCGTTGGATGGAGGAGATTGATGGCTTCAGGCGGATTTGTTTTAGGAAAGGCATCCGGTTCCGACATGTCTTGCGAGAGGTTAACGAGTCGGTCCATTTTCTTGGTCGACTCTCTTCAGCCCAATTTAGGCTTAGGCAATGGTCTGATCTGAATTTGTTACCTGGGCCCGTTAAAAGTGTTGCTACTTTAGATCTTTTTGGTTTACCTTCTTTTAGAATTATGACTTAAATTGTATTTTTTGGTGATAGAGGTATTGGTATAGTCCCCCTCCTTTTGTTATCTTTCTTCTTCTTTAATAAAACCCGACAAATGTCCCCCGGCATTTGTCCCACTGATTTTGGTGGTTTGCCTTCCGGGGGTTAAAAAAATACTCAAATAGTGTTGCCAATTGATCCTATATATGATGCAGTCCCATTTTTAGATGTAGACACGAAATGCACTCCGTCGCAAGTACTGTAACATATTTTGTACATTATTATGCTTATGTGTAGACATTGGATGATGCCTAATTTTATCTTAAGAATACATACATTTTTTGTGTATAACAGTTTAGTAAAGTGGTGATTCATTATTTCATTGTGTTGTCTATTAAATTGAAATATTTACCTATTGTGTAGATTTGAATTTGTTGTGGATCGTGTGCTAGGATTGCACAACATGTCTGAACATTGCAGATAGAAACAACTGATGCAGAAGAGTGGAGAATTATGTGCTCAAATTGCCAATACCTAATATATAAGGAAAATTGAAAATAATAACCTCACATATTATTAATCTGTTGTCAATAAACTTAATTATAGGTTGTTCTTTGATGGTCTCAACTACATGAACCACACATACTATAGTCGTTCTAAACCTAAGGTCACAAACTCTAAATAATTTCAATAATAGTCATTCTCTTTTCTTATTAATCTCATTTATCAATTCTCAAGTTTTTGAAGATGTAGAAATATTCATATAAATATCCAAATTAAATATTTTTAAAACACGTAAAAGTAGTTATGAAATTCTACAAATGTACCGATGTTAAAAACGGTATTTTTAGTCATTCTTCTTTCTCGAAATTTCTATTTTCCAATTACCTTGCCAATTTATGATTTTGTATGATTTTCTAACTAATAGTACAACCACCCCTACCCCCCAGCCGCCCAAAAAAAACCTAATAATACAACCATCACATATAAACTAACAATAATACATATATACTTTGGAAATAGATCTTAATAATACCAACTATTTGAATATATAGCAAAAAAGTATGGAACCACTTTTTTTACTAAAAATCCAATCATTTAAGATATAAAAAACCGATATCTAATCAACAAATAAAGGATATTTCGAGATGAGGTCACTTATTTGATATTAGTTTTTGATGACTTGAATGATTGAATTATAGTGAAAATTTGCTCTTTATCACTTTTGTTATATATTCAAATGGTTGGTATTATTAAAAACCACTGTTCTAAAAATTGGCCTAGGCGGACTGATTAATCGGCCTAGGCGGCCCTACTGTAGATAATTAATCGGCCTAGTCGGCAAAAAAATCGGTCTAATCGGCCAAAACATCGGCCTAGTCGGCCGCCTAGGCGCACCTCAACCGCCCGACTAGCGCCTAGCGATTTTAAGAACAATGTTCAAATTATTTTCAAAGTACAAATTTTTCTTTATTTATGACTGATGTTTTTATTATTTAAACTTAATTTCCCTTTTTTCTTTGCACCTTTGTCCTTTAAAAATGGCTACTGTTTTTTTTCACATTGATGGTCCTTTGGTAATATTAAATAAAGAATTGGAATTAACAATTCTTAAAATAAAGTGCACCTTTAAATTATTAACTGAAAGTATTCAAATTGATAAAATATCTATTTAATTTGGGAAAATTGTCAAATAGGTCCTTATATTTTTTCCATTTTCTTTACTTCGTCTTCCTCCCCATTTCTTCTCTTTCTCTTCTCCTTCTCTTCTTTCTGATCCATGACTTCTTCCCCTCTCTTCTCTTTCGTTTTCCTTTCTCTTCTTTGGAATCCAAGAATACACAATTGTTGATGAAGACAGACGAGGGAATGAGCACGGTCGTGTACCTCAATATTATTTGTTGCCGGCATTTGTTGTTGGATTTGTTTCCGAAGTCCATTCTCGACATCAAAGAACTACAAAGTTAGGAAGAGGAGAAAACGTCATACTCCCTCCATATTCTTTTGTTTGTTACACTTTCCTTTTCGGTAGATTTTGTTAGATAAACTTTCCTATTTTGATAAGTCTTTCCTTTATTAAACATAAAAAAGTGCATATACAGGACTATCATTGTTTTCATCTTAAAATAGGACTTATTCAATCCTAACAAGAAAAGTTTTATACTTTTGACAGATGAAATAAGTTCTATTTCGGGAATAAAATACATGTAGTCCTTTTTTTGGAAAACCTTATTTTATTGATGACAAAAAATTAGTACAATGCGAGAAAACAGTACAGAAATACAAAAAGAAAAGAAAAGAAAACTGTAAAATTAAGCCCAAGGGAAATCTATGGTCTGAGATCTTGTAATCATGTTGTGTCGTCTCTTATTCTTCTGAGATTTCCTGTAAATCCTTAGTTGCGTGTTCAGGTTTTCTATTGGTATATACAGTTTTCCGAGGAAACGAAGCTAGCTTTGCGACAAATCGCTTTGTTGAATTTGGATCTCCTGATTTCGTCCTAATTAGAAATAGGAGGGCGACGGTCACTTTCGGTTGCATGTCCCTAAAATTCATCTGAGAAGAACGAGTCATCGGAATGATCAAAATCGTCGGAGGCGTTTGGTAGTCCTATTTGTGCATTTTGAGCCCATTTGGTAGCACGAAAATCGGCTGATTTGGCTGATTCTGCTGAAATTTATGAAGTTCTAGCTGGAGTGGTTGTATTGGCTGATTCTGCTGATTTAAGAAAAAAATATTTTTAAAATATATTTTATTAATAAAATAAAGAAAAAAATATATGTAAAAATAGCTAAAATGGTCATCTACAGTAACTTCAGTCAATACAGCCAGAAAAGTAACTCCAACCTTACTTTTTCTGCTTATTACATAATTCAGCGCGTGAAAACAAAAGTTACGTGTTTGGTGAAAAAGTTGGTTGATAAGCCTGATAAACCGAAAAACGATGTCGCCAAACGGCCTCTTTATCTAAGTTTTATTCATACAAAGTTTACATTATTAGGACCTACTTATTTTTTTCCATCCGTATGCTTTATTTAGTTCTAGCTTTAGGAACCTTAATTTTTGTTTCTGTTTTTACCCTTCACCTGAGACTCCGTTGGTCTTCTGCACAAAGAGATCGACCTGCGACCTCACAAGAGGCACCTCCGCCTCACGTCTTCCAGCCACCAGGGACGTCCGATTCTCATCTCCAGCGGCAGCCTCCGCCTCGCCTCCGCCGTCCGCCAGCGTCTGCGCTGCTGTTGCAGATCCGCCGCCGCTCAATTTAGGGGAATTGGGGCTAGGGAAATTTGCCTTTGTTTTCTTCGTTGCTACGCACTACGTTCTTCTTCTTCGCCGGAGATATCTCCGATGATGAGATGAGGCATGGCGAAGAAGACCCAGGTGCAGCGGCGGCGGCGCACCAGACCCTTCTTATTCTCCCCTCCTCCTTGCGGACCGGGGCATTAATTAGACTGATTGCCTTCCAGAATTTATTGTTTATTTATTGTCTACTTATTGTCTATTTATTGTCTTTTTAGTGTCTGTTATTTTCTAAAAGTAAGAGTATTATGATCAATGCAGGTGTAGTTGAGTCTTACGCTAATTTTCGATCTTAGTTTTGGAAATTAGTAAGATTTGCTTTTTCAGTTTTGCTATTCTCTTTCATGCTTTTCCACCCTCTCTCATACTTTCTACACTACTACCTCTGTCTCGAAATGATTTACTAAATTGACTTTTCTTGGTCAATAATGGCAAACTTTGAGAAATGATTTTAGTTATTGTATTTGTATAATTTATAAATTTTATACTTTTAAGAAATTATTTTCAATGAGGAATATTTTGATATAATTTTCATATTCTATATAATTTCGTATTAAAATATATCATTGGTCAAAGTTTATTGTCAATGAATAATGAATAGCATAAGAACAATGGAACAATGAATGAAAGAGAGGGTGGGAAAGCATATATTAAAGGAGTATTATTCATTACATCTACTATTTTTTTCTTTAAATGTTGTGTCAAACCTGATTGTAAAGAACAATGGAATATGAAGGGAGTTTAATAAAAAGACAAGAATAAAAACAAAAAAGAAATTGGGAGGACAATACATTAAAATGAAGCATTGGCAGAAGGGGAATGGGTCTGGAGATGAACGTAGAAAGGGGAGGGAGAAGGAAAAAGAAAAGGAATGTTTTTACTTGATAACCATTAATTTACTGGTTAAAAGTATGAGATTTGAATGTTTTTCCGAAATTGGGGGTTGATTGG